AGACTGAACAACCGGATTGAATTTACTACTCTATGTAATGTTTATACATATCTCTCTCTCACTCTCTCTCTTTTTAAACTTTTAGTTCTTGCCGTTCTGTTAGCTGAGCCACCAGAGTGCACCAGCTGTCCTTGTCTTTATACAGTCATGGAGCCTCTTATTCAGAATTCATTTAAGCATTTTCGTTGTAATCTCATCAAGATTTTCGATCTTTTACATTACTAACATCCCCCCCCAACAAAAAAACAACAACAACAACATCAAAATATTTAATTATTATTATTATTTAAATTATCATAATAATAATAATAATTAAATAATAAATAATTTATTAAAAAAAAATTAAAAAGTGATAAAGGGTGGCATGGTGGTTCACAGCAGGTTCACTTCTGTGTGGCGCTTACATGTTCTTCCAGTATCGAATGACTTATCATTTCAGTTTAAACTGTAACATACTTACCCTGTATTTCAGTGTACTTAGCATTGTCCAAAAAGAAACTTGATGTACGAAGGTGTGCAAGTGTATGAGATTGTTCAAAAAGGTTCTTGAAATTCTTTAACACTTCTTTTGCCTTATAAAAAAATATCTCCAGGATTAAAGGGTCTGGCCCACTTATGTCCCACACCATGTAAAATGAGTTTGACATCCCTCAAACACAGAGGAGCTCCCTGACTTGTCCGCCAGACTTCTGTTTGCTGATTTCTCATCAGTGTTCAACACTCTGCAGCCTCATATCCTGGCCACTAAACTTTCCTCCTGATTTCACCTGGATGATCAGCTAATCTTGTGGATATTGGACTTTTTGACCAACAGGACTCAGAAAGTTCGGGTCAACAACTCTCTTTCCGGTCTCCGTTCCACCTCCACTGGCTCCCCCCAGGGCTGTGTGCTATCCCCCCTGCTCTTCATCCTCTACACCAATGACTGCAGATCCACACAACCCAACTTTCACCTGGTGAAATATGCTGATGACAAGGTTCTCCTGTCACTGCTGTCAGGCCCCTCACAACACCATGGGCCCACTCTTCAGGAGTTTGTAGTGGTGTGACAGCTCCAAACTTGAACTGGATGTGAGCAAAACCAAAGAGATGGTGGTGACCTTCTCCAGTAGGCAGAGGGAGCTGGCTGCTTCAGTCCCCACCACCATCCATGGGAAGCCAGTGGAGGTAGTTGAGGAGTACAAATACGTGGGAACCATCTTTAACTCCAGCCAATAAGACTATTTTCCACACCCATAAACATAAACTACTCTACACTCTTTTTATACTGCCAACAGTTTACTCACTTACAGTTATTTATTCAGCTTTCAGTCACTTTAATTTTAAATCTGTGTCATTTTAAAACTGTATATATACTGTATATTCTGTGTATTTATTATCTCACTACTATTGCCTGTTTATGACCTGTCCTTATCTTCAACGCCTATTGTGTCTTAATTGCCCCTTGGGGATAAATAGTCTTTCTGATTCTGATCCCTGACCTACAGCAATGACAGTATAGTAAACTGAAACAAAACCAGAGCACATTAACACATACAGAGAGTGCTCCAGCATATCCTTTGTAGACACACATTACTCTAGGTCACACTGGGTCGTGTTCCACACGTTGTGAAAATGCTAACAGGACCTCATCTACTTTCTCCGCCTTCTTGAGCTTGTAGGTCCAAGGCTTTCGAAGATGTTGCCTGTATTTACTACATTCTCTTGAAACGTGAACACAGCACAGCGGTTGCTGACATCAGGCATGCATACGAGGGAACTGTTATGTAGCACGCAGAATGTATCACGTAGATGCCGGCTTAATACTTCCTCCATAACTACAGGCTGCTGCTCGGAGGAGACGTAGATCTCCGCGGATAATTCTTTCACTGGTGCTTCCAGCTAACGACACCTTAAAGCAGGTAAGAGGGAGCCCTCTTTAGTTTGGTGGAAGTGTCTTTACGTGCTTTTTAAAGTGTAGCTCATCTTAACTCTCGAGTTGTTGCTTTTCCACATTTTTTCTCCCGCACCACACGGAAAGGCCTCGTAGCTGAATAAAAATTCTTCCCTTTCAAAATATATAATATTTAAATATAATACTACTTAAAAGTGTCGCGTCATATCAGGCACAGTTGTTTAATGTTAGGTCTGTGAAAGATAGGTCTAGTCCGTGCCCTTCATCTGTCACCTCTGAAGTTTTCATGTCCTGTTAATAGCGACTCTCGGACCTCTTTGGTGGGAACGACTTTTAAAGCCTGATTTTGGAGATTTTTTTTGTGTGAGGCGCAGCCTGATACTTCCTGACATGTTTCTCTATGCGTTTTATTGGTTTCTATCAGCACTGAATTAGCTTGCATGCTGTACTGCTACACGGCCAACAAACGTTTGAACTCAGTCGACCTCGTTCTTGTTTCAGGCGAGATGTCTTCTTATGAGGAGAGTGAGTCCAAATTCTGGCGAAAGGCAAAGGAGAATCCATTTGTCCCAGTCGGTGAGTACATATTGTGACAAGGACAAATAAAATATGTGCTCACAACACAAAAGTTTACGTTTTGGGTTTATTGAATGAGTTTTCAGAGGATTTGGGGGATATGTTGCTGTCTTATTTTTGTTTTAATGACTTTTGCTTTTTGCAGGGATGGCTGGATTTGTTGCCATTGTTGGCTACAGGCTGATGAAAATGAAAAGTCGTGGAGATACAAAAATGTCGGTGCACCTGATTCACATACGTGTAGCTGCCCAAGGCTTTGTGGTGGGAGCAATGACTGTTGGTGGGTCATCTTTCAGTTCTTACTGCCAAACTGCAACCAGTTCTTTATTTTTGATTTGTGGTTTGAACCTGAAATCATAATACTATAAACACGGGTCATTTTACATTATTTATTTTTTTGTTTTGTTTTCAGGTGTCCTGTTCTCCATGTACAGAGATTACTTTGCAAAGCCTATTGAACAAGAACAGAAAGCAACCCAACCCAAGTGAACATGGCCTCTTGGACTCATATTTTATGTCCCTTAGTATTGCCTCATATTAAGGTGTGCACAAGATTTGTTTCACAGATGTCCTGACTTTTTTTTATGCACATGTCTGCTGTAAATAGCTGAAACTATTTGATGACACTGTGCATAGTCGGAGTTGTATTGATCCCATCAGGTTTTTCTTGGTGTTATTATCACTGATAGTTTGGGGGCATTACTGAAAGTTCATCTGCTCTTGCTGTGAGTGAAATATCTACAAAATATCAAAATGAAAATGTATAAACTTTGCTGAACATGTGTGTTACTAAGTTGGGCCTGGATTAAAAATTAACCACCAAATGCTACATATTTATTTTTGTCTCGTATCAGCTAACCATCCCTGTTCATTTCCTGTACTAATACTGGGATGTTTGCCAGATTAAAATTGATTGCACCTGAGCTCATATATTTCTAAATGAGCATCCCAGTGCATTTTGGGTATTTAAAGCCGTTCACAGCACTTGGCTGTCAGATGGAGCAGAGCCCTAAAGTAAAAAATAATGATAGTGATAAAATAACTGATACTGGTGGTGTTGAGCTATCTTATCCTATAGAAAAAAATCTATATAGCCATTATGTTGAAACTGTGGAGAAAAAGGCTTTAATTCTGTAGCTTTTATGCAGTTTCATTGTAATGGTGACATTCTTTTATTTATTTTTTCACTTCAAGTTAGCACTTGCTTCCGTGGAACATCTATACACTGTGTAGCAGCCTCGTGTTTAATTAGTTGCCTTGTGAAGTTATTCTCTAAGCTAAGTTGTACACAAGTACAGGATGTCATTTTAGTTAAGTTTTTTTTAAATGTTAAAGAAAATTGTTTTGTTTTTTTTGTATGGATTTAGGTACCTTGATGTATTTTGACTGTTAAATGTTTTCTTTGTGCCATTATATTGTTATTAATCACCCATCTTCTGGGTTGTGTAGTACACCTACAGCAGCTAAAACATTTACAGTTAACAGGAAAGGCTCACAACACTGTAAACTAATGAACTCAACAGCATGAAAGGACCGACTCTACAGTGATCATAAAGTTCTCCCCAAGTTTGAACCACAATATAACATTGCAGCTTTTTGTTGTTGGGGTCTTTTTTTTTGGTTTTTGGTTTTTTTTTTAGCTTCTCACTGACGACAGTTTCTAACAGGTAATCTTCTGACCCTTTCTAATTCTACCAAATAAAGCTTCTGTGATTTGCTCAGTCATTTGCTGTTTCTATTCACTTTCTTATCAGGGAATGCCTGGCATCATTTTAAGCTGGGAAAAATGCTTTGTCACTGTGACTTTGGAAAGTGTGTAAACAGGCATTTCCTTGATATTCTACCTGACACGTGCCATGTATCATGTTACATCCTGTACCGAAAAGAGCACACCTATCAATGGCATGCGTAAACATGCACAGATCCTGCTGTTATCTTCATTTAGTTGTCTTGCACGAAGATATGCAAAAACAGCATCAGTAAGAAAGGTGGTAGAGTAGAGTGGTGACCTCAAACAGACTCCACATCTGAATGTATGTGAAGTGACACATAGTTAGGGTCCTGTGGCACAGGTGACTGCATAAGGTCCAGGGGCCCAAATCAGCCTGGCTCCAATCTGGACAAAGCTATCCAGTGGGATACTAGAAAATGCCAAGGAGTGCATATATTTTGAACTACAGAAGTTTTAATGCTTTGCCTATTCTTACAGATACACACCACCTAGTGTGATCCGTAACATACCAAAGTACAATAAAAAATTTTGTGAGTTCATAAAGAGTTTATATAATAAATTTATAATTACAACAAAGTCTGAGCAATAATCTACCAGAACCTTTTCTGTAACATTACATGTCTATAATGTAGTTTACTGGTCCAGCCCACTTCACATCAAAGTGGGCTGTATGGGCCCACGATGTAAAATGAGTTTGACGTCCCTGCCATTTGGGAATCCATGCCAAATGATCTCTACTAAAAACATGGACTGGATGTAAATACTGGAAATCTTCCAAATGGAAAAAACTAAATAAACATGTTCTTGTGTGTTACCTGTTTCAAATTGCAAAGTCACATCACATTTACCTCTTACAGTTCAACAAAAACTGCTTTGTATAGCAGCTCAGTTCATATATTCACGCAGGATGTTGCCTAATGATGGCCTAAAGCAGTGGTCCACAGAGGCCCACTGGTGTTTGAGGAATGTCCGAATGGGGGAGGTGGGTGGGTTTGTGCAAGCTACAGGTCTTCATTATAATTATTAATTGACAAAATCAGTTCTTTGTATGCAACAAAAATGAAATGCATTATGAAATGCTGATGATCCAAAGGTAATTTTGCACACTGGATGAAACTTTTCACTGGGTGTCCAATTCGATTGGTGATTGGTGATTGGTAGTTCCCTGCTCTCTTGGTGGGCAAGCTGCTGTTAGGGAACAAAAACAGACCAAGAACACTCTCAGTCATGGATTGGCCTCTCCAAGAGGGCGGTGCTCAACACTAATGAAGCAATGCAAGAAAATGCAGCAAAAGCCAGCCAACATTCACAAGGGTTGTGAAGAAGAAGCCTGGAGACCTTTTCCCAAAGACTACTTAAAGAAATGACAAGAAAGCTTGCCTAAGAGAGTCATTTAGGGATGTTTGCCACATTCACATTGTTTGCACCTGAGCCCATTTATTATTAAATGGGCATCCCAGTACATTTGGAACATTTGAGGAAGCTTTTCACAACATTTAGCTTTGTAGAATGAGTAGAGCGCTAAAATAACTGGCACTAGTGGCCTAATATTAACCCGAAGGAGACATTTATAAAGCCATTACAATAAACTGAAACTGGAAAAGAATTTGAGATGTAATTCTGTAGCCTTTATGTAATTTAATTAAAATGAACTCTTTTTCATTTTTTTCAATGATTTTAATTTTGTTATTTGTGCTACTTTGATATTATATATATACTTTGTAGTAGCCACCAAAATGTTGTTTAACCTGTTTTGTGCTTTAATTGATGCCATGTTAAGCTATTCCGAATATATCATTTCTGGTCTTGAAGTCAGAGTCTTTCAACTCTGTTAACTGATACACTATTATATTATTTGTATTCATTTTTCCTCTAAACGGGGAATTAACTGCATCATTTTGAGGTATGAAAATGCTTTGTCACTGTGACTATGGGGCTGCTGTGAAAATAGGCATTTCCAAGACATCGTATAAAGTCTACGTGACATCTGCCGAGTATCATCTTACATCCAGTACTGACAGTGTGGGGAAGGTTACTTTTAAAATGTATTCCACTACAGATTAGAGAATAAATGCCCCAAAATGTATTTTGTAACGTATTCCGCTACATTACTCAATGAGAGAAACGTATTCTGAAGACTTTGGATTACTTAATATATTATCATGCTTCTTTACAACTACATGAATGTACTATTGCTGTGTGATTTACTACTATTACTGAAGGTTACTCTCCATACCAACACCAACTAGATTTTTTAATCTTAATATAAAATGAGTAACAGTATGGTGGACATTAGGTAAGGCTGCGCTTTTGTGTACAACCCCCCCCCCCCAAATACTGTGTTGTATAGTCTGTCTGCTGTCAGGATGAAGGACATATGATAGCGCTCAGTCCTACATTGTAGCTTTAACAGTCTACTGCTGAAGGAGCTGCTCAGGGACAGATGGTGAGAGTTGTTGTCCATAATGGACATTAGCTTGGCTAACATCCTCCTCTCATCCACCTCCTCTATGGAGTCAAAGTGTCATAAAAGGTCCTTGTAATGTTCTGCACCTCTCAAAAGGCTTCAGCTGACCAGCAGATGAAGACAACTTTGGCCGTTCTTGTACACAGGATAAGAGTTATGACCACTCCAGTTTACTGTTAAGATTTATCACTTCCAAAACTATCCAACCCGTGGATGTTACAGTTACAGGCCTACATTATCACTGCAATATACAGCTAAGCAAAAAGTTATGCCTTTTTGCTTAGCTGTATAGCAACATGAAACAACAGCAAGGATAGGAAGGGGCCTGCCAAATCAAATATGTGGAGCTAACTGCTGTGCTGACCTCTTGTGACTAAAGGAGTAACTCAAAGTAGCTTTGATCTGATCGCATGCTTAAACACCATAGAAGAGTACCTCTGGCTGTGATTAAAACCACATTTACAAAAGATTGTAATTAAAATTAGTTAAAAACACTATACTGGGATGTATGGTGACATAACATGAAACAAATTGAGCCTATCCAAGCTGTCTGAGGGCAAGAGCTGGGGTACACCCTGGACAGATCTAATGTGAAATATATTAAACTAACTAACTAAATTAAAATTTCCAATTACATTTTTTTGTAGTGGTGAACAATCTACAATCCACCGGAGGGAGCTGCAGTACAAGTAGCCTCCTTATTTTCCACTACACTGGAAAATAAAAACAAAAGAGCAAAAGAAGAACAAAAACAATGGAAGTTTCGCAAAACCTAGGCTATACTGAACGAATACTAGCACAGTGCCCAATAAGTTTAAGAAGCACTGCAGATGCAGAAGGTGCTTTTATCTGTCAGTGCAGTTAAAAAAAAAAAGAAGTAAATACATTTGTGCCATAGAAAGTCAGACTTTGAATTAAAGGTGACATATCCAGGGCACAATTAAAAAAATATGTTTTAGCCTTTATAAGCGTCCCCTGGTCTCTATGACTACATTTCTGCTCCCGCGAGATGTTGTTTTAAGCTGAGCTGAGTCCCCGGATGGCAGTTGCTATGGATACAGGAGTTGTCTTCACCTGTGGTGAAGTTTAAAACCAATTTGTTTACACGGACCCGACTAATTAACAGGTGAGATATTTTCTCTTCAACTTAATCTCTCTTTAAGGGAACCTTTCGCTTTGGCTCAGAAAATAGTCTTTCGGTACGTACGTACGGTTTACATACCGTAAACGTCGACTACAGACATCGTATTAAGGGCATTCTCTCTGTGTCAGATAAGAAGCACAACACGACATAATAGTTTAAGCCTCAGCATTGATTCGATTATAATATCCACCTTTAACTTTCCAATGCCATAAATCAGAGATCATGGAGTCTGAGGATCAGCTGAACGAACTGCGGCTTCAGTTTCAAGCACTGCAAAAACAGCAGGAAAAAAGGAAACAGGAGAGGAAAAAGGAAACACAGCCAGACAAGCTCAATGACAGTGGTGCTCAGGATGATTTGGATCTGTCTAACCAAGGTGTTCAGGCAAGCTGTGATGCTCCCCAAAACAGGTGAGACTTAAATTAAATGTTTTTCAAGGTATTTTCCATAAATGTTGCTACATAAACCACTATGAAGGAATATATTATTCAAGACTGGAAATCTTTGTCATCTGCATGCAGTCATGTGAAAAACTAAGTGGCTTGCAGCAATAACTTCGAGTAATCATTTTCTGTATGATGAATTTTGGCTCACTCTTCCATACAACAGTGCTTTTGTTCTTTGAGGTTTGCAGGGTATGTCCCATGGCCTGATAAGTCAGGCTGAGGTCTGAACATTGACTTGAATTGCAACACATTCTTTTGTTGTTGTTCAGTCAGATTTGCTGCTGTGATTGAGATCATTGTCCTGTGATTGCATGATCAAATTTCAACCAAGTTGGAGTTTTCAGACAGATGTTCTCACATTTGACTCTAGAATACTTTGGTACTGTATACAGAGAAGCAGTGACTGCAAAGTGCCCAGGTCCTGTGGCTGCAAAACAAGTCCAAATCACCACCCCTTCACCACAATGTCTGACAGTTGGTATGAGGCGTTTTTGTGCTGATATGCTGTGTTTGGTTTTTACCAAACATGTTGCTGTGCATTATGGTCAAACACATCCACTTTGGTGGACATTGTTCCAGAAGTTTTGTGGTTTGTTGAGATTCAACTCTGCAATGCCATGCCATGTTCTTTTTAGAGAGAAAGGCTTTCTCTTGGCCTTTCCAAACAAGCCATACTTGTTCAGTCTTTTTCTAATTGTATTGTCATGAACTTCAACATTTAACATGCCAAGTGAGGCCTGTAGATTCTGAGCGTTGCTAAGTCTGTCCTTGGGATGAACTTGCTGGGACACCCACTTTTTGGAAGATTGTGGCACCTGAATGGTCCGGACCAGTAAACTGCCAAAATTTCTGCTTTTCATAGCGCTCACACTTTCTGATGATCAGTTAATTGCACATGGCTGCCACTAACCCATTTAAGGTAACCACTAAAGGTGGACTAAATTTTTCACAGAACTGCACAGAATCCCACGAAAACTGTCATTTTCACATGGTTGTAAATAACCATTCTGTCATGTTACATTCATCCTTGTTCATTTTGTCTTCCATAGGCTGTTGCACATTCAGAATAAGGCCCTCCTTGACCAATTGAGAGAGCTAAAGGATGAAAATGGTCGGCTCTTCAAACTTCTGAGCGAGAAGGATTTTGAAATTAAGCACCTGAAGAGGAAAAGAGATGAAGAAAGACTGGCTTTAGCAGGTATAATGTAAACTGTTTTAATCTTTTTTTTTTGCATTGAGATGTTACAGACATGTGACAGCTTCTTCCTGCTTCATCAACTCATCTGTTTAGGTACTTCAGGCTTGGCAGGAGCTGTAGCTGCCACCAAGATTGTTGAGCTATCCAAGAAGAATAGAGAACTAACTGCTGAAATTGAGCAAGAGAAGATTAAATGTAAGCAAAACGGCAACAGAATCAAAGAGCTTGAGAGAGAGGTAAAGTTTTGCTTTATGTGTATCATTTGAAATAATTTGATGCATGAAAATTTGTCCTTCTCAGAAAAACTGTTGTGACTTTCTGTAGCTGCAGGCCATGCTGGTACATGGTGTACCTGGGCAAAAAGTAGATTCAAAGTCACCAGTTAAGATCTCATCTGAAGAATGTGAGGTAAGGAATAATAACAAAAGGAACATTTTGCTGTAGGGTCCTAACTAAAATAATGGCATCACTGAAAGGATCATTTATGACTTGTTTCTGAAAGCAGGAAAGTGCACTGGTTAAATCTCTGCAGGAAAAATTAGCAACTACCCAAATGAAGGTGACTGAGTACCGCAACCAGGTGCAGTCTGCCAAGCAGGAGTTGAAAATGGCACAGAAGGTAGGAGACTTACTTTATTTTCTGTCTTATATGCAATCACTCAAGAAGAATATTTTATATCTGAATGATTTTTCACAAGTGACTTATAGATTCTAAAATATGAACTACTTCAGGTTCTGATTAGTGAGATTGGAGAGGAGGTCAACCTTCAGCAATTACTAAGCTGCCCTGGGAGCTTTAGAGGTCGAGCACAGCAGATACTGGCTCTGCAGACAAGGGTAGGTTCAAAATTGAAGTTTAACTTGATTTTACATAAATGTATTTTAAAGTTAGAACATTATAACCAATGAAGTGCTTTTCAAAATAGTGAGTTCACAGGAAAGCATAAAAAAAAACCCTGAAACTGAACTGATGATGAACAAAACTTGAACAACAGGTACGAGAGCTTGAGCAGCAGCTGAACAAATCAACACAACAAAGGCAGTCAAGTGTTCTGAGTGGAGAGGAAGAGTTTCTGGGCATGGGTGTTCTTCAGAAAACTCCTCCTCAGGAAAGAAATGTCAACTACATCCGCACTATAGAGAAAGAGAAGAGGGTAGCCCTTGAGGTATGTATAGCCACAACCACAGAGGCCTGCAGACCAACCATCAGTTGCTTGGCGAAAGTGTGTGTGTGTGTGTGTGTGTGTGTGTGTGTGTGTGTGTGTGTGTGTGTGTTTCTTTTTTTTTTTACCAATGCCAGCCACTTATTAAATGAAAATTTGAATTTCAGAGATATATAAAAAGTTCTTATTTCAAACTGACTATGAGAAATGGGTCCATGCATTCATATCAAGCAGGTTAAACTGTGTTGCTGTAAGAGAGTCCTTACACATATGCTGTAAGTTCAGCATTTTATTAGCACTCAAGGAGCGAAGTCACAACAGTGGTTCCAAGTTCAATGCAGAATTACATTTAAAACCCTTCTATTAGTTCATAAAGCTCTCAATGGCTTGGCACCCCGAGTACATCTCTGACTTGCGCAGCCTCTTTAACCCAATTAGACCTCTCAGGTCAGCAGGTGCAGATCTTTTGGCTATTCCCAAAATTAGATTTAAGTGTGCTCAGGTGCTTCAGTTACTGTGGTCCTGTTGTTTGGAACAAGTATCCCACTGACTTGAGGTCAGACAGACTCAAACCATGTTATCCTCACAGGCTTACAGTTAATAATTGTGTGTGTGTGTGTGTGTGTTGACTTGTATTTTATGTCTCTGTGTTTTTAATCACCTTGAGCCAGTGCAAACCTACATACGTTTTTCTGATTTCATTTCTTATGTTAAGAAAACAGACTTTACATGTAATCAAAAAAAGAAACTGCCATTTAGTGCCTGCTGGAAGTCACGTGCATGTTGGATTGTGAGAGGGTTGTTGACTGGTCTCTCTGTCTGTTTAACTGGGACTTAGGCAATGATTTTATATGAACATAGACATTACATTGTTAATGTGCTAAGGCCCTTCTCTCCTTCCACAACTGTGCAGAGGCTCTCAGTGGATTATGAGGCGCTCTTGAAAGAACACAAAGATGTGAAGCAAAAGCTGGAAGCCTCTAAAGCCAGGAGCAAAACTCTATCTGCTGAAGTCAAAATTCTGAAGCATCAAATATCAACCCTGATGGAGAAGGGGAAACACGATGATGAGTTCGTGGCTGCTTTGATGGTAAGAAATTAGACTGGAGACAAATATCTGGTTAGAGTCGTATAGATTCTAAAACATATTACAATATAAAATTCACAAAATATAAACAAACATACCACTTTGGCCTGCAAGTAGACAAACTGGTGTAACTGGAACTTGGGGCTTATTTCTTCTTTCTTAGCTTGACTTTTACACGGCTAGACCGTCACCATGCGCAGCTTCTCTGACCTTGCTTCCCAAAACAGGAAGTGACCTCTGCCCTTACCTTATACCAAAAAAGGAAAATGTTGACACAAAAATAAAACATACAAAATAAAATGCGTTAGTTACATTATCATTACAAGAGCTCCGCCTAGTGGTCAAATACTAACATTTCACCAACTGTTACAGTACCAATTTCACTTGACATTTATGAGTTGAAGTCAACATACTGCAAAGTAGAGGATATCCTGTGATGTGTCCATGCTTTACTACTACTGTTCCTATAAAGTGTGTATATCTTTTCTACCTCTGGCAGAAGCAGCAGGCCCAGATGCAGATGGTATTAAAACAACTCAGCCAAAAACAAAACGTACAGAGCAAGGTGATGCAGCAGAGTGTAGGACAACAGCTGAGCAACATACCTTCAGAGCACAGTGCTATCATCCAGAGATTTAAGGAGATACTTGCTGAGAAAGATGCCATTATCAAAAAACTACAGAAAAAACAGCAATTCTCTGATAAGGTAATCAAGAAATAATTACCAGGGGTTTTTTTTGTTTTTGTTTTTTTATTTTTGTGCATTCTCCGAGATTCAGCATGAGATGTCTGACCAGCAATTAAAAACGTGTGTTTATAGGTGTTGAAGAACGATGATGTGCACAGACAGCCCAGCATCAGGATAACAAACTGTACTTCTGCTGTTTCCCCAGAAGAGGGAGACATTACCAAAAGAATTCCATCTTCAGGGTACTTGTGCTGGTTTAATATCTGATAATCATTAAAATATGCTTATTGTTAGTTTAGCTTAGTGGGTCCCAATCTGTGGGATATGGATCCATTGCACGTGGTGAGAAATAAATTATTTAAGCAAAAAATTACTTAAGTAAGATTAAGCTGGGAACCTTTTTTCCTTTTTTTTTTTTTTTTTTTTTTTTTTAGGTTTGAGAAAGAATTATGACGTGTTGACTAAGAACTGTTTTAGCTTCATACAACTTTGAGGAACCCTGATTTACTTCTTCAGGACAGATAATTTTTGTTCATCTCGTCTTCTGTTTTGCACTTGAAACCAGCCTCTGAGGCTAAGTGTCACACATAGCACTGATATCTCTCGTCTTGTCTAGAAACATAAAGCTAAATAATTACCTAAGGTTAATGTTGGGGTGCACTGTTATTGGCGTATTGATGACTGTGATGTTAAACACTTCTGTATTCCTGTGGGATTTCTGTTTACCGCCTTCAAATGTTTTGTTTTTCAGTTCAATTTCTAAATTTGGTCACAAACTGGTGCTGCCAGCTGTGGGAAGTGGCATAGAATTCACGTAAGTTTAATGTGTACCATGTCTGCTCTGTACTGACATGGGCATCACTATGAAATTAGTGAACAAAATTCCTGACTGTGACATGATAACCCAAGTCCTCTTTGTGGAGAAGGACTAACAAGCTTGAGAGGTCTGTAGAATATACTGCAGATGTTCTTTAGTTGTTGTTGTTTGTTTTTTTTTCTCTTCAGTCTATCGCTCACAGTGTAATTCTGTCAGTGGGACAGGGTTGTGAAATGCACATCTTTGTGTGAAAGTATAGATCGAAAAATACCACTTCACCTGAAGGCTTAAAACAGTTTTGATTGATTCCTCCAAAATACCCAAACAAAAAAAAAATAGATAAAAACATCGAGCAAGCAGCACAGGTCATGAAATGTCTCCAAAAGCGAGATAGTTTTCATTTTCTTACAGAGGATCCAGATTGCTGTAGCTAACAGCTCTCCAGCTTGATCTGTAACGGCATCTTTATGCCACTGCTGCTGGCTCTCTTACTTGTCAAAGATGGTGATGAAGGACTGCTTTATTGGTGAAAAAGGCCAGTTGAGTCGATACCCATGTGGTGGTTGTTGGTTGTTTGGTTGTTTTGTTTTGTTGGGTTTTTTTTTTGCCAAATGAAGTGGTCGGATGATTCACGCAAATGTTCTTTCTTCACATTTCAAGTTTGCACTTTTGCGTACTGCACAAAGCTAAAGTAGCCCATTTTATTTTCTTGTCAGTGTAAAAATTAAATGCTATAACGCTGCACAACTAAAATGTTAAATCAGTTTGTATATTTCCATCCCAATATTACAAACACAGGGAGGCTATTTCTGTTGGTGTTTGTTCATTTTATTTATGCAGTGCACACCACAGTAATGACTGTGGTGTGCACTAATGAGAGCGTGGTGGTTTATTTTACAGTTTTCAATTTACCGTCAGAAATTTAATGGTGCAAAAATGAAACTTTATATAAAATTACACATATTTATCAAGCTAATAGCTTGTCTGGGTAAGTATAAACTATATTTGTCACTCCAAAGCTGTGTCTGTTAAGAAGAATTCCGTTGCATTAACTCTAATGCAATCCAACATTTGTCTGACTCTTCTAGAGAGAAAGTGATGAGCCACACATCTTTGGAGGCACAAGCACCAAGAGGAGCACCACAGGCCAGTGATCCTGGAGGAGTTTGAGAGGCCAAAATTAGATTAAAGTCAACACTGTCCATGCAGCATGGCTAGGACTGATATGCCAAGGCTCAGTGACAGCATGATGTGACAATATCAGGATTTTTTTCTTCTTCTCTCTCTCTCTTTTTTTTTTTTCTTTTTCAATTTCCCCCTTATCTTTCTTGCTCGTGGCTATCACAGCTCTGTCGGCAGGAGCAGAGTCCCTGAGCACCATGGAGTCTCTGAGCAACAGGAACTGTCCACAGACAAACCTGAACAGACTGTCCAACAGTCCAGAATTTGTAAACACTTTATTTCTTTAACAACACTGCCTTAAACTGGTTCTGGTTCAGGAGTTTTCTTTCTCCAACCATAAGAGTTAACCAGACGACAGAAATAATGATGTGCGGCGGTAGACACGCTGCAGACAGCAGTGCTCATTCTGCCCGTCACATCAAGGTTGCACGGAGATGTTCATGTTGTTCTTGTATGTTGTCTCTTGGCTGGTCATTCAGCTGGAGGAAACGCGGGCGCTGAGGGCATCCCTAAAGAGCACTCTCCACCATGACCTGCAGCTTTCAGTGACGTGATGAGACAAGTCAGGCATGTTTTCCTGGAGGCTCTGTGACAGCACAGACAAGACACTAACCAGGGGAACTGGCTGGTCCCTGCTCAGCCTCACTTCCAGCTGAGCCCTACCTTCTCCTGTCACATGTGACAAAACAGCAGCCTGCAGGAGAAAGGAAAAAAAAAACTCTTCAGCCACGCAAATATTATATGCATCTCTGACTTTCTCTCCATTTGAGTCCCCAAAAGACAGCTTGCGACGTAAGGTCGGGTGACCTCGGTTTAACGACTTAAGTACCTTGAGTAAAATAGCTTTCAACTTAACCCTGATGGCATCAGACAAGTGTCCCGGGTGATTGCAGGAGCGGTCGGTGCTGATAAGACGTCTCCCCGTGGTTTCACATCTCGTCTGCTCGCTGTTTTATAAATGTCACTGTCACATTTTATTAAATATATGTTTGTCTTTCCTCGGCTGGTAACCTTAAATGCATTACAGGTATCGAGACCAATGCTGTCTGTTTTCAAAGTAAATATTTTCTGTAAACCAAAGAAACATCGAAATTAATCAGTGAAAAGGAACCGAAACCTCAACAAATATTTTCAATACATTGTTTACCTTCATGGCGATGACTTTGGTTGATTTTTTTTCTTTCTTTTTTTAAGGTTTTTTTTGGCTCCATACAGTTGTAAATAAATGTGCGACAGACCAGGCTAAATAGTAATCACCACAGTTAAGTTCCCAAATCGTTTCAATATTCCTATTAAATATTAACACTAATCATTTCTGACTTGAAACCAGTTTTGTGGGAATAGCGGTTGAAAATAGCTGCAAACTCAAGCTGCACAAACTCCCACTGTAGTCCTCTATACATTCCCCAGAGCAGGTCACACATGTACAGTATATGGCTCTTAATCCAAAGGTTGTCTGGATATGCCCAGTGGGAGTGGCTCTTACATTCATACTAACATCCGAGTTATTTTCTTCCGATGTAGCCAAAAGGGTTTCAGCAGAACATCCCCCCCCTTTCCTCCCTCTCCACATCACGCTTAATTTAAAACCATGGCTGAGTTAGTGTGCTGCTTCAAATACCGCACTATGTCTTCCAGGACCCTGTGGGAGATTGGCAGGTCCCCATTGGACTGAGCGAGAAAGTGCCACAAGACAAAAATATCAGAGTTTGGACATGATGAAGAAAGCCTTTATGCTCAGAGTAACAAAAAACAGCTTGTGTTTGAATACCTCCTGGATGGAAGGTGAGGCGCTCTTTAATGCAACAGAGTGAGACGTGTCACCATAAGAGCAAGATGAGAGACGAGCAGATGAAGATTGCCAGATACGTATCAAGTGAGGAAATGTGCGTCAGAAAGGGTGTTGATGGAGCAAATGCTTGTCACGGTCCCTAACTGCGTCTGATTGCCAGGAAAGCGTTCAACTTCATATGGTTTTTTTGGGGGGTCATTTTCAAACTTTGCCACAAAACTGTACTTTATATGAAGCCAGCGTTTGAGCGTTTTCACAAACCTGTAATCGTATATAATTTTAACGCAGTGCATGACTGCAAGAGGGACATCATTTCCATCCTTTTTCAGTGAGCTTTTCTTTTTCAGACATGTTATACTGAAGTTTCAGTTGACCTAATATCAGGGATTAATGTGACTGCTCATGTTGACTTCAGTTATTTAAGAGTGTCATCACTTTCAAATAAATTACACCTTGCCAGACAATTTTATTATTGTTTCATGTAGCTGTATTACGCAGAAAGGTGTAGATTTATTCCAAAATGCCCAATAACCCACCAAACCAAACACAAACTTATGTAAACACAGCATACGTAAACAGCCTCACCTATTTGTCATTCCAAGTTTGAATGACTCCTTTCTCCATCCTTCTCCTCAGAGGTATTCCCTCGTTCTGGACCAATGCTTCCTGCAGACCATTGACTGCATCCAGAAACTAAAGTAAATAGTGCAGCTGTGAACGCAGAGGTTAAAGTTAGCCATCAGTATATGAGGGATCTGTGAACTTTGCTCAGGCCAGAAAACGGTTTGGACCTCTATGCGTCCATTCATCTCCCAGTCCCTCTCATTTACATGTAATGGAAAGAAAATAAACAGCAGGGTCCTAATGTGCTCATTTACAGTAAGTAGAATTAAAGTAATAAGTTTTTATCTTTTCCAGGTCGCGGTGAGGGAAAGGGTAAAGATCAAAGTGTACGGGGTGAGTTAACGACACTGAAATTGAGTTTAAAAATCAGGTGCGGAGGTGTTCACTAAAGCCTCGTGAGGCTCGTGAGCAGATCACCTCAGCGTGATACTCATTTGTGCCTCTTGCACCCATATTTCAAACTTTTTGAGTCTTTTTTTGTTCATTTTCAAACTCCTTCCTTTGCTTACACTTCGTATATGTACAGTGCAGTGAGTCAATACTGCGTGAGCCCTGTAGTAATTTCAGTTTGCTCAGATATGTTTAAATACAAGTTGCATCACTAGATGGCAGTGTGGTCAGTTAAGTACAGTACTTGATGGCGACTCCTATGTTTTGATCTGAAGCCAAAAATGAAATTAAATGGATTCTGCAGGATTTATGTGACACTAACAGCAAATATGTGCATTATCAGTTCATACAGCAGAGTTTAATTGTCGTTATTGTGACACAGTTGTCATTTAATCATTGATTTTTCCAGCTTTTGGAGTTGATAAAAAGAATGAACACAGTTATAATACAGAATTATTAATACTGGAGACTAAACCAGCTGTGATGTTTTGGTTGAGATACTTGAGAGGACAACACACTGATTCTGGATCAGGGGGGCTGCTTACAAAAATGCTGTCTTGTGAAAAACTGTAGCTCCTCACAATCTGTGCTCAAAGTGCTCTGTCATTGAAGGCTGCGTTCCCCCCCTCCCCATTCGCTTTAGTAACCCAGTGTTGTTCTCGACTCATGGCTCTTCCACATCTAATCCTCCCGGCAATTTTCTCACTCTAAATTGAATTTTCTCACCATGTTGTATCAAACTTGGTAATAATCAATTTCTTCTGGAACCACTCCACCTTATATCCGATGATGGTCATGGGAAATAAAAAAGGATTAAAAAAAAAACTTCTTTGTTTTTATTCAGTATTATTTGCCCAACTGCTTTTGAACATGCTTGTTTCGTCATATGTATGCATCACCACTGGTGCAGATATCCTTTATGTTCCTGCAAGCAGACTTTCCGCCTGACTGCAGCTGCGTGGCAGGACGTCCTTTAACAAGCAAAAATTGTTTAATAAGTCCCTTAGCGAATGCTTCCATGTTAGAGTTGACATTTTGCTCACAGATATGATCACGGTTAATGAGATCTGCAGCCTTCTGGAGATGTGTGCGAGAGCATCACTGATAACAAGGGTGTGATTTTCTTTTTCTAGTTTTACCTTTGTCTGAAGGTTATAAAGAAAGAGAGAGAGATGGAAATAATTGGGGGAGACAAAGGGGAATAACACACCAGCTGAGATGCAGTGAAGCCCCAGGAGGCCAGTTGCTCACAGAAATGCTGTCTGTGTATGTTTTCTGAATATAAATGTATGAATATTTGTTTTGACACAACAGTCACATCCACTAATTAACACTTAACAGGTCCTCAAGGTGTCTGTGCAAAATCATATAATGTAGCATGTAGGCGTGTAAGGGTGGAAAGTGGTTGAATATTCTCAGGCAAGACAACAGATACCCTCTAACTCTTTTCAGCTAATCATTCAGATTATGACTTCATATTGAATTAGTAAAACAGGGTACCACCCTGTGTGTTGTACTACTAACAGTTGCTTTATTTTAAAAAGCTGACACTTTTTAAGAAGCCTGATACATAATAAATACATAAATAAATATATATATTTGTGTGTGTGTTTTACCATTGTTGTTTTCTACTACCATAGCATAATGTCTCTGAGCATGTTTCCTCTTTTGCACTGAATCTAGTTCAGCACATAGCCATAGGACGAAAATGTCAAACATTTTGGGAGACCTTTTGACTCCCTGCATAATAATCAGACAAGCCATTTGACCTTTTCTGAGGCATGAACATGCAACAAGTCATTATTATCATGTTTTTGACCAACACGAAGAAAGCAAAAACAAATCAGCGTCAAACAGTAAATAAAATGGGCAAGTGAATTAATTTTGGTGAAAATATCTGTTTGTCTTCTGCAGCTTATCTGGGTCGCAGGGGCAGTTTAAGCTGAGATTCCCAGACCACCTCCTCCCCAGCCACTTCCTCCAGCTCTTCTTGGAGGACGCAGAGGACAGCTGAGAGATATAATTTCTTCTGGTTCTGCCCTGGGTCGCATCCCAGTTGAGCATGCCTGAACTGCACTGACTCAGTGTGGTGGCGATGTGGCTCTATTCTGAGCCCCTCCCAAATGATCGAGCCCCTTACCCTAAAAGAGAGCCCAGCCACCCTTGGACGAAGCTCGTTTCCACCACTTGTGTCTATGATCTAATTGTTCACTACTCACAGCTTGTGCTGCCATAAGTTTCCTTACCAAACTTATGGCTGCATGCCCATTACTACAGATACTGCACCAATCCATCTGCCAGGCTTCTTTTCCTTCCCTCACTTGTGAACAATGCCCCTGGAGTTGATGCTGTGCCTCTGAGGTGGACACAGAATCTGTGACAAAGGGCAGTCCTGGATCCTGAGTCCAACACCCACTGGGAACCAGCATGACTTCTTGCTGGGAATGCAAACCAAACTCTCACAACAGTTGTACAGGGACCAAATAGCCCATAACAAAGGGCCTGACACTCCATACTTCCAAAGTACCCCCTACAGGATATATCCTACAGGTCACCCCAAAGGGTGACCTTCAAATGCTCTCTCCAAGTCCACATAGCACATATAAACTGATTTGTCAAATTTTCACACACCCCTGCATATCCTCAAGAGGATAAAGAGCTGGTCCAGTGTTTTCCTGAAGGAAAACCACATTGTTCCTCCTCAGTCCACAGTTTAATAACCAGTGAACTCTCTTCTCCAGTACTCTGACATAGACCCTCCCAGGGGGCCACAAAGTGCAATTCCCTTTAAGTTGGAAGCGACACTGCTCCCTTTTTTAAAAAGGGAGGACCTCCATCTCAAATTTTTCAATCAGTCCCAGACTTCCATATGAGGCATGTAGAACAAGACAGTTCAACAAGAGCCTTAAACGTACATTAAGTCATTTTTTAAAGTTATTTAACAGAAAAAATTATATTGTACTCATGAATATACATTTATTACTGTGTAATTGCATCTTCCAACATATGATCCATTCCTATAAACTTAAAATTAACACATTTTTTTTAAAAAAAGGAGAGGACACCGGTTTGTGGAAGCTACCATGTAACTTTGCTATCTTGAATACGGTGGCTGAGATGGACATCGCTGTTCTGCCTTATCACAGTCTATGACCAGCCAGTTACGTAGGATGTCTTATAAGTTACTTTTAATTTCATGATCACAAATAGCTTTTTAAAACACTATATGTCCATTTAACATTTGTGAGTGTATCTTTTCATCATTTCTTTGTGATCATTTCTTTGTGATCATGTCTTTCTCCTCCTCCACCACTGCTCTCTTTTCTCCCGTATTTCCATGTCTTCATGTTCTTCTTTCTCACCTCAAACCTCAAGCCCACCTCAAGCAATACTGTTATTTTTAGTCACAAAGGGCAGCGCATTCAACAATTTTTTAGCACTTTGTTAAACTTCAGAAATAATTAGGCAATAAAAAGTTCAGTGACTCTTGCTTGGTCCCCTTTGTACACTGTTTGCAGGTAAGAGTACAGGTGTCCATAAGCAAGAAACACTTCTAACAAGCACCATTGCACTACTTTTTGCCATTTTTGCAGGAAGAATAATACACATCTTTGAAGGAATTTATAGTTCTCTTGGAAGTACAAAAAGTAAGCAAGTGTGCCAGCCACCATGGCTATATAGATGGCAATATTGTACTGTTGAGCAGTTTCCTTTTCCTTCCCTTTGTTTTCTTATTTTTGCAATTCATGCTCACATATATCGACACTAACAGTGTTATCTTTAAACACAGATTATGTGACGTGCAAGATAATTACTTAGAATAGATGCACCATGGTAGAGTTAATCCAAGAAGCCAAAAGATCCCTGAAAGCAACAAAACCAAGAAAAAACAGATGTTTTAATCATTGCATTGAAATGAAGTAGCA